ATCCTGTAGTATCTAGTAAATTAAAATTATGACAAGCTCCTGCACATAAACAGATTCGAAATGTTTTGATAGTATCATTTTGTTTAATAAACATGACCAAATATAAAGATAGATGCAATTTTTTTCAAAATCTGAAAGTTTTGGATGTCATTTAGAGAATTCAACAATTGAAATGGCATGGGATCGGCCATTTTGTGAATTTTATGAACAATTTCTGAACCTCAACTAATTAAAGTATTTATTTGTAACCAGTGGCATCCTGTAAATTAAAATTATGATTATCTCCTGTATATAAAACCTATTCAAAATGTTTGGATATGATCATATTGCTCTATGAACTTGGTCAAATTCTAAAGATATAGTCAATTCCTCTCAAAATCTAAAGGTTTTGGATGCCATTTAGAGAATTCAACAATTGAAATAGTTAGCGGCTGGCCATGAAGTTTAAGAATTTTATGCACAATTTCTAAACTTCAACTAATTAAAGTATTTATTTGTAACCAGTGGTATCCTGTAAATTGAAATTACGATAATTTCCTGTATATAAAACCGATTTAAAATGTTTTAATATTATTATTTGTCACCATAAATTTGTCTAATTCTAAACATCCATGCAACTCCTTTCAAAATCTCAAAGTTTTCGATGATTCTCAAAATTTTCCAATTAAACAATTAGAATAGCATGGAGCTTGACATTAAGTTAAATAGCTTGCTTAGCTGTTTTTGAACTTGTAGCTAGTATTAGCATGACGTCACGCAACAGCGAAAATAAAAATCTTTATGAAAATCTAACGAATCATTAACAAGAGAGGATGAATTAAAAACATCAAAACCTCTTTTATTGATAGAGAAAACTTAGAGGAGGTAAAAGGGCTTTAAGTTTTGCTAAATTTGGGATAACATTTGTGATATTTTCTTACTTAAATATTGATTTGCTACTGTATACGTTTAGACGTATACTCTTGCGACTTTCTAGTTTAAAATAGCTCTTAGAGTGGTTGTTACGGAACACCCAGTTAAGAGTTAGCTAACACAATATAGTGAGACATCTGTGGTGAGAAGTTTATTCCGAAATATTAATTACATTATCCTCAAAATGAATTATTTTGAAGTCAAATAGAATTATGTTTATTAAATTCATTCATTATTATCTACAATCAAGGAAAGAGAATCTAAGAAATATCTGCAATAAAATCATAATCTTTTGCTTCAATAACCGTAAAATGAATTTGTGCGTGGAAATAATTGAAAACATTCTGACAAATAGCTAATTAATTTTCAAAAGTGTTTATCATTTGTCAAGCTTCGAGCCTTAAATTTGGAAGAACAAACAACATTATTATCGAATAAATTTCTCTTCTGTTTGTCCGATTTTCACTTTGATCTCTACAATCTCACCAGAGCATCTTTGAAATTCCACTAATCGATACCATAATTGCCTCGTTGCAACAATTGATTCCATTATGTGGCCAGTACCATCTGTAATCCTATAGTAATAGAGGAATTGTGTCCCAAATAATACTATGGGTAATAATCTTCTTAACGATTTACTGCGAAAGGGGCACACGAGCAGATTACCTGTCACAGCGAACATTTTCCGGAAAACCCACGCCTAGGTTTAAATCTAGTTTTGCAGAGTAATTGGGAGGGGATGTTTATTAATATTTATCAGATATTTTCGGTGCGCAGAACTAAAGTTTTAAATATTTAAAATGTTTGCAGTGTGAATAGTCAAGAATGAGATAATAAGCATCACCCTCTAATGAAACATCTCATTTCAGCATTTGCATCTGATTTGCTCCATGAAGTTATGTGCAAATTCAAGTTGTTAGCTTAATTAGAACAGATCTAAATTTCATGTACACTTTATTCTAAATTACAATATCTTTGATTACAGTTTTAAAAAAAATCATTCTGTTGTAAGTAATTAATAATATTTGTTTTTGAAACAGAGGATTTGTCTTAATTAATGATGATGAATGTTTTTAATGGATTTTTAAAATTATGCGTATCAAATCAGAACGTATTTTCATGGAATTTCGTATTTTCATGGAACGTATTTTCATGGATTTGTTGTTGCATAATCAGAAAAGATTTAAGTTTCAGGTATGATTTATTCTAAATAATAGTACCTTTTACTGTGGTTCAAAAAAATGGTTACTTCTGTTGCTAGAAAGTACTACTAATTGGTTTTTATAATAGTGTGATTAGTATTTATTGTTTTACGATGATACATAACTTAAATGACTTTTTAAAATTATACGTATCAAATTAGACTCATACTTTTATAGAAAGTTCATTTATTTTGTTGTTGGCATAATCTGAGAAGATTTAATTTTCGAATACGCCTTAAATACGAAAAAGCATTGTTTAAAACATTTAAAAAAAATGTTAATTCTGCGTTAGTCAGTGATTGATGATATAATTTTATAACGATAGAATTGATGTTCATTTATCTATTGTATGCAAAACTTTATTAGGTTCCTTAATATCAGTTTATCAAATCAACGCATATCATGAAAACGGGTTCTATGTACTCGCTGCTTAAGGACAGTTAAAAAAGCTTATTATTTTTTCATAATTTCCTTTGTAAATTTCTTTTTTTTCTTTAGTTTTTATGGTGTCATATATACATACATGAGCCGTGGTGGCTGAGGGCATAGAGCGTTCACCTTCTAATGAGGTGAACCGGGTTCGAATCCCAGTGATGTCAGGCTGATACGAATTCCGCACCCGGCATGTACCGACCACAGTGCTGACGTAAAACATCCTCTGAGATAGACGGATCATGGATTAGGGTCTCTTTGCCGTTAGGCTAACCGTGGAAGGTTTTTGTGTTTTTCCTCTCCATGTAACGCAAAAGCGGAATAGTTCCATCAAAAAGTATTCCCCGAAAGCAAATTTCTCCCAATAATTGATTCAGGAGTTCCCTTGTCTTCTGGATTGGTTCAAAATTGCAAGACTGCGGAGTTGGAGTTGAACATTAGTAGCCGGTAACATAATAGTAATATAATAGTTAGTAATAGTCGGTAACATAATAGTCGGTAAAATAATAGTAATATAAATTAAAGCCGGAAAAAAATAAGGAAAAGATATAATCCCGTTATCAGCTCATATATATATATATAATTTTTGAGTTACAAAATATCCCCTCTTCGCCAACTTTTAGGATTCAGAATAACTTGGTTTTTGTTTAGCAATGAATATAGTATTAAATCCTTAAACTATGTTCAAAATATTTTGTTTAAGTTAAAAAGTATTTTTAATTCGACTTGCAAGATTTTCACATTCTTATAATTCATAAATATACAGTGAATGCATCATCTTCACAGCAGCAAAAATAAATTTTTAAGCAAGTCATTGTATGCTGTGCATCATGAATACATATTTTAAACTTACACATATTTGCATACATTTTAAAGAAACTTTCACTCTCTATAATATTGTCGCAAGACGTCAGAATTTCAAACAAGATATAAACACCACTATTCAAAATATTACTCCATAAAATTTATCACTCATATTAAACATTTTGTTTCACGAAACCACCATCCTTTGCTTAAAATCTAAAGAATAAGTATTAAAATAGAGAGATCTCTCAATCTTTAAGCGACTCGTCCAAAATGAAATAGTCTCATTTGGAACTGCTCATAATTGTGTTATGAATTCAACTCGAATTCGTAAGTTATTCATAATGAAATAAAATCAAAATAATTTAAAAGGAGTTTATTTATTGTGAATACTTTCATTCCGCGAGATATTTCGGCGAAGCAATTCTCGAAACCTTTCTTATTCAAATATTTATTTCTATAGAAGCGTAAATTTATTGTAAAATGCAAGAATTAGTATTTCGGAAACGTACATTCATTGTAAAAAACGGAAAACACTTTTTTACTGCCGTTAAAAGTTCTATATGTTAATTATTGCCATACGTTTGATACAAAAAAAGTTAAGTCAATGTCTTTCTTTTCAAATTTAAAACAAAATCTCAACATTTGTTCATAATCTTCTATAAGGCTTAGATGTTATGAAATTTATACCTGTTTTTGAATGCGAAATATATTTTACATATGGTACTGTAGTGTATCTACCAGTACAAAAATACAATTCCAATTCACTAGCATATAAGACATGTTAACTCGATTCTATGATGGGGTACCTTTTCATAGATAAAAGTTGGCATTGTCTATAACTTCTCTCCCCGCAGTACTAATTTAGTAGTCACAGTACTTGTCTATTAGCACTAATTTAATGGAATAAAATAAAACAACTATTGCACGAGGAAGTTATGTTTTAACTGAAACGTTGGCACTGGTAAAATATTCAAACGAGAACAAAACGATAAAATTATGTAAAGATCAATCTAATTATTGAGAAGCAAAGTACAGTGTGCAAAACGAACCACTCTCAATAACTTTTGATCTAATGATCGGATCTATACGTTCTGGGACTTAATCTTGATAGTTCAATGAGATGATCTCAAATATGCTAATTAATTAGTGCAGACGATATTTAAAGTTACGAAATCAGACTTAAAAATGCACTTTTTTTTAAAAAATAAGCATAGCATGTTTTCGACAGATTTGGATTCCAAAATTGTAGGAGTAGCCGAATTCTTAGAAATATGGTCACAATAGTTTGGTCAGAACAGCGGTACGTTTTTTTTGCGTATTTCGCTATGTCTGTAATACTTTTTAAGTGAATTAAAAAATTTTTGGACACAATTATAAAATTCGGTTAGCCAAAGATAATTCCAGGAAAAAGTTCACTTTCAGCAAATATTTAGTAAGATGGAACAAAATGAAATTTTTCTACGCTGCTGAAAAAGATCAGCTCATTATTGTAATGTAATGCAGGTACTTTGACATAGCTAATATTTGATTTATGTTTCGTTAAGTTGATTACATGAATAGCTGTATAATCAAGTTATAGAGCATATTTTTACTGAATTTACAAACAAAAGTGAACTCTTTTTACTTAGCCCATAGTTCTTCTCTTACCTGTTACTGTGAGCGTCTTTTCCGCAGATACTGTTTGAAAGGATGGTAAATCTGCAGATATTTCGCATTTGTAGTTCCCTGCCGTTGTTTCATCCACTCCCTTGATATAAACCGTTCCGTTACTCGAGCGACCAAACTGCAAGGAGAGAATAGAATAGAATTAAGTTTCGAGAATTAGTCCCGCTAAATCGAAAGCTATCGTGACACCAAAGTTTCGTTTCTGGGATTCCAGATATTGCAGAGTAAGTTCCCACACGAAAACCCTCACGGTTGGTCGCACGATTCAATTACGTTGCATCTTCGAATGAACTTACTAATTAGAAAGTTTGATTTGATTCTCGCTATTATTCCAGGATTAAATCACATTTGCAATAGAAATTATGATTTTGAGACTGTAGAGATTAGAAAGATATTTAAACTGATTGATTACAATTTCTTGCTTTGTGTCAGGTTTGCAGTTTTAACTTGAAGGTTCTAATGAAGTTTGTAATGTTGTTAGATAGTTATGCAGAATCGCACTAAATTTTAATTTGATAATTCAATCACTGCTTACTTATATGCTGTTTCAAGATAGCAGACCACTTAAAATCTAAATAAAATATATAGAATTTTAATTCTAATATTTCTGTTTATTAATAATTCAAAATGGAAATGAAGAACAATGCATCAACAGTTCGTCCATCAGTGCATTTTAGCGACAAAGCTTTCAAACACGGTTTGGTCTTAAGTACAATCCTTAAGAGACCATTCCAGAGACCGTTAGACCAAAACTATGGCTCTGCAATTTAGAAAAAAGTGAAGACGGGCTAAAGGAAGGCCACACACTGAGGAAATTAGCAATAAGAAAGTCGCATATTGGTTTTGAATTCTTATATTTGTATTAGGATGCGCAGAGGTGATGTGCGCTTGCTAAAGCAAAAGTATTGTAAACTGTCTCCCGTATGCCTCTTACTTATCTCTCGTTCCCTTAGTGTATGGCCTGTTCATGTACTTGCTGAGTTTGCACTTGAAATGATTCAGATGCTTTTAACTCGCTGTGTGACAGTACTTTTCATGAAAGAGGTGATAAAATAATGCAAATCGAGCATTATCCTGTCCATATATTGCTGTTCTGATTGTGATGAAACATATAGAGACTGATCGTGAAAGGCCGTTCTTTGTTGACATTTCGGATTTATAGAAGAGGAAATAATGCAATAATGTATTCGGAAGCATTAATAAAGTTCATGTAGGTAATCAAACCGAAGGCCCGGGTAAGTTTTATCGCAGAGGATCACATTCGAAATTACTTCAGAATAAATTAAATAAGTCTTAGGGGAACCAAATCTATAGTCAAAACATTCCACCTGTGACATCCACGTGTTTAAAAAGCATTGTGGTAGAATAGAAGAATTGCTTTCAAGTGAGAGATGTAGTCTAAGTTCCTGTGCTCAACCGGTCCAAATAACATTAAAATATTTTTATTTATTTATTTTTTTCTTAGTAAAGTGGCGTAGATAGACAGGAAAAAGGCCTAATTAAATGTGGATAATGCTTTTAAGTTGTGTTGTTGTTAATGTTGACAAAAATGTAGACTAGTTATTTATTCGCTATTTCTGATATGCTGGCAGGATCTCAGTTACAGATTTTCTTTTTAATCTCCTTTTTCATGGCTTGGGTGGTCACGAGATGGTTGACTTTTTTAAGAAAAAAGGTGTCTTGAGTTACCATCAAAGCTTTCATTTTTGAACAGGTCATCTTAATGGTTTAATCGATCAAATAAACACAATCAAATAAAATGTTTTAAACCAAATCCAAAAAATATAAGAGCTAACTTTCTTGAGAAACAAACCGCTCTTTGTTTGGTTTTAAAGTTTTCTGCTTTTGTTATGCAAATTTGCAATGAGTTTTCAAGTTCCTATTTTTTTTTGTTTCGAAAAAATATATAATGTCTACCTTTTCTTCTGAAAAAACTGCGTTTTTTCAAGTGCTTAAATTTTCTGCTCTTGTTATGAGAACTTGCAAAGAATTTCTAAGTTCCATTTTTTTGTTTCAAAAGAAAAAAAACTGTTCTTTATTTGGTGGTTTTTAAGTTTTCTGCTCTTGTTATCCAAATTTGCAAAGAGTTTTTAAGTTTCTATTTTTTTTTGTTTCGAAACAAAAATATTAGATATAAATTTTGCGCATAGTTGTGATATTTTTTACATCTTGTAAACAATAAAAACTCTTTAAGTTTTAACATAAATATTGGTCGAGGCCTTAGATTGCATAACATATACGTTCGCAGAAGATTTGCTTGTTACGAAAAATATTAGTGTAACCAAACATATCTAACCCCATCGGTTGAAAATCTTTTCTTCACAAAAAATAGTTTTTAAGCAAAAAGTTATAAAATTTATTAATCTAATTATGAAAAAAGTAACTCAAATGACTTGAAAAATTGTGTTTTGAAATCACCGAAAATAACTCTTTGATATATTCACCGAGGGAAGAAATTTTCTTGAAAGTTTCCAGCAATTTAAAGTTATTATTTAAGATATTATTAATATGTCTGGCTTGATATGTCTGCCTTGAAAAACCAATTTGAGACACTGAAAACATTTTGAAGACCAGAGCTTTTCAGTAATATGAAATGTTTAGACATATTTTACTATTCAAAGATCAAAATAAAATGGTTTATGAAAAAAAAGTAGTGATCTTAACTAAAATAGATTTAAAATTGCTTTCGCAATATAAAAGTTAATTTTTGTAGCTTTTCGCTCTTTTGAATTTATTTTCGATCGATATGTTTTTAAGTAATACAAGGTTTCGAAACATGTTCTAAGAGATATTACTGTAGCGATTATCTAGCATATTTTACTATGAGACTTATGGTATTAAATACGCAATAAAATAGAAAAGACTGATAAATCATATATTTCAAGCTCTTGCATGAGGTTTAAATTTAACTATATATCTCTTGATGTAGAATGTGAGATTAATTTTAAAACTTTCACTTAGCACAAGGACACTTAACTGAAGGGACTTCAATTCCAATTTCGGATAGTTAAAATAAGACTCCTGTTTTTTGATTGAAAAATCTAAATTGTCAAAGGACAAAAAACATATCTGAAATCTACAAATTTCGAACTGTAACTGGAACAGATGTGGTACCAACATTAGTTAACTTCTCAAACAGAAGTTAGTTAGCAAAGAAACAAATGGAGCATAACAGAAAAATTATGTGAAATTAAAATTATAAAAATTGCATGATGTATAAAATAATGTGTGCATTATTTTAGCTTTAATGTATTCTTACCCAGGTATATTCAAAAGTTACACTGAAAATATATAAATCCGATTGACTTAAATAGCTCATACACATAGTAACATGATTCTTCTGCATTAATATCCATGTGAAAGAAGCTTCTTAATTAATCAGCTAGAGTATTTTCAATACAATGGATTAGAGGTGATACGATTTGAAGGAGGTACGATTTGAGAAACTCTTCTCGATTCCTATTATTGGGAGTACATATTAGTTCAGTCCGTTTTTTTGTGATCAAAAGTGCATTTATTTCAGAACAAAATGAATGAACAGATTAATCAAAGTATTGTCCATCGCTGGCTACTACTTTTTCCCACCTCTAAGCCAATTTTCGAATTCCATCTCGAAAAAAAGGCTCGTCTTTTGAGGCGATCCAAGTTAGGAGCCAATTTTTGATTTCTGCGAAAGAAGTGAACTGGTGACTTGCCAAATCATGCTTCATCCGTCGGAACAACCAGTAATCAGAAAGAGCAATGTACAGCGAATACAGCGGTTGGGATAAAATATCCCACTTGAGTGTTTCCAAATAATTTTTTACGACTTTCGCGACTTTAGGTCGACAGTTATTATGCAGAAGAATAACTTTGTCATGCCTTTGCTCGTATTCCGGCGGTTTTTCTCGTAATGCACGACTCAAACGAATCAATTGTAGCCTATACCGATCGCCCGTAATAGAATCACCAGGTTATAGCAGCTCATAGTATACAGAACTACTCACCATTCTTCATTCACCATTCACCATTCTTCATTTATCATTCACCATTCTTGAAACGTCGAAACCATTCCCTACATGATTTATCAGTTGGAGCATTGTCACTATAAACTTCTACAAACATTCGATGCGCTTCAGCTGCACTTTTCTTCAAATAAAGCAGAGACATAAAACCTCCCGCAAATGGTGCTTAGTTACCACAAAATTTGGCATTTTCAACAAAGTAAACAACAGGGGTTTTGTATGACGCTCAAAGCGATATAAACTGAATATTATTGACAGATGTTTAACCTCTCTGAAACCACCGAAACCAGCTGTCACTAAGAAACATTCATAACAGCAGAGTCCTCTCTTAAAAACGGACAGAACTATTTTGTACTACCAATGTAAATATCGTTTAGAAAAATCTAAAAAGTGGAATATATATATATATATATATANTATATATATATTGAAACAGTTTAAAAGCAGTTTTCGAAGGCTCTGTCGTCACTTAAATAACATATTTCTACGAATTATCTGGTACTTTTATTTTTATTTTTTTTCTCCAATGGCAGGCACTGAATTTGTATCTTTGCCTATACTATGCCAGAATTGTTGCTCATTTCGCGTTACCCTGTGGGCACCTGTGAACCAAAGTTACGGAGGCGAGCAACGTTGCCCACGCCACACTGCCACAAACCCGTTTATAGGGTGGGCCACATTCACACATCATACACACAACAGAGGACAGCACAAAGAGAGAGAGAAACATCCATGCCCAGAGCGGGATTCGAACCCACAGCCTATGGCTTCGCAGTCAGGCACGCTAAGCGCTCGGCCACCTGGACGGCCTGGTACTTTTATAATTGCTGTTAGTTTGCAACAGTTCATGACTCACGTCAGCTTAATCCAGAACCTTCAACGCTAATTTTGAAAATGGCTCAAAAAATCCATAGAAAGAGAAGTCACAGTTTTGTGAAGAGAACAGAATTTCTGATCTGATTTTTTAATATATAAAAAATTATTCCACTGTTGCATGATCTGGGATCATAAAAATTTAAAAAAATTAGAATTATTCGTGGATTTAGGTCACCTTTATCCAAGCAGATATTGGAGGTGTTTAAAAAAAAGGTTTAAAAACGTTTGAATTATTATAGTCCATTCCACAGCCCAGATAATTCTTAATAAGACTATAAATAAAGTTCAAAATTCTAGCTTTGCTGAACTGTTGATTCTTTAATTTCTTTGGAAAAAGAACTTTGAAAAACACTTTCAAACAATTTTCAATTAAGGTTTAAAAACAAAAACCATGGACTAGATAAAATACCAAAACTCACGTTTATATCTAATCCCTGCAACGGGAAGAACTGATTAGGAGGTTTGTCGCTGCTCAAATAGCTCAAAAAATCCATATAAAGAAAAATTACAGTTTTGTGAAAAGAACAGCGTTCGTGATTTGACTTTTTATTATTTAAAATGTTATTCCACTGTTGCAAGATCTGGGCTCATAAAAAATTTAGAAAATTAAGAATTGTGCGTAGATTTAGATAATTTTTATTTATTCAATCAGATATTGGTGGTGTTTAAAAAAAAGGTTTACAAACTTTTTAATTATTCAATATTATTTGCCCATTCTAATGCCCAGATAATTCTAAATAAGATGGTAAATAAAATTCAAAATTCTATCATGGTTCTTTAATTTCCTTGGAAAAAGAGCTCCGAGAAACACTTTTAAGCAATTTTCAATTAAGGTTTAAAAACAAAAACCATTGACTAGATAAAATACCAATACTCACGTCTATATCTAATCCCTGCAACGGGAAGAACTGATTGGGGGGTTTGTCGCTGGGCACATATCGGAAGAACTCCATGTCGTCTCTGTACCATTTGAGTGAGTAAAGTGTGTCGTCTTCTAGGTCAAAGACGCACGTCAATGTCGTCTCTTCTCCTGACACCACGAGCTGCGGAACCTCCAGAGCCATTAGACGCAAGCCTGCAACGAGGAAGAATGTATGACTCGTTATTAAAATCGCATTCCATCCTGCCTGGTCAATATCGCGAAGAATGTTCTTTCTCTGGTGTGAAGCCGCCTGATTAAATGGATATTTGGAGCTGGATCATTATCTATTAGATTCTCGTTTGTTACTGAGATTCTCTGTTGTTTTAATAACGCCATTTTGTTTTTTGTGAAAGACTATCTCTGGTATTTTTTTTCTCCCTTTTAATTTAATGAAATTTGGGTTATTTGAATGATTTCTTTTTGGACCTAAACTTTTCAATTAAATGAATGAAAATAAAATAAACAATTAAAAAAAATATTGGAATTTAAAATGCAATTAGTTTTATTTTTTGGAAATAAATTTAATGTTGAACGTATGGTAACTTAATTTTAATAAAGATTTGAAATGTTTTCTTTTGTATTAAGTGTTATTTGAGTCTTGAGGGATTTATTATTCATTCGAACCTTTAAAAAAAAATTTTGATTCGTTTTTAAAAATTTTATTACTTGGTAGGAAAAAAATTCGATAAAAATATTAAAATTTCTACAATAATTATAGTAATATATACTGCAAAGAAATGTTAGAAACTAAAAATATCACGATTGTTGATTTTTGTGTGATATTTTACTGATTTGTCCTAAGGTTAACAAGTTCTTGACGATTGAGCGTTTCATCCGGTTTTAATCGTCAAGAACCGACAATTATCAAAAACTCAAAATTTTGGTGCAGAAAATAATTATTATCCACTATAAATATGAAGTAATTATAAATAAAACCTCATATTAAGTTGTAAATGATCAAAACAATTATATTCTTAATCATTTTGACATAAAACTCCCTTTTAATTTTAACAATTACTGTCAAAAAACCAAAGTTTTTGAGTGAAAGTTATGATCTATTGTAAATATTAGATAATTATAAATAAAAAAATTATGTAAAATTGTCTTTTTCTTTAATTATTTTTAGTAAAAATACAGAAATAATCATCACATAAAAACACTTATTAATCATCTTGCTCATTATGTATAAAATCAATTTTCATTATATTCCCATTATAACTCTTACTTTCTCTGGGGCATTCGATTTTTAAAAAAGAAGATCTTATTATTCATAGTTCAAGATCTTTATTTTGAAGATCTTTGTGCTCGAAGTTTATTTTTCAGTTTTGTATACGTAAGACAAATTCATAAAATATTCTTTCGATTGATGCTGAGTTGCATAGACTAGAATGTAAACGGACAAAATTGTTAAAACACAGTAAAATTAACATATGTTGGAAAGTTTATTCCAATTACCGTTATAAATATTAGTAATTAACTTAATAAAACACTTAATTGATTGAAATTAATTGATTAAATTTTTGAAAAGATTGATGGAAAAAAAACTGATTTAAACACACATTTATATTTTTATAAATTACAATTAATTCAATTAACAGGGAATATACTACGATCATGATTTATAGATGTTTATATCAACATTAACAATAAATATTGAGAATCGAATACAATTTCACAAGTTGAGACCTGACAATTATTGGTGATGTTAGTACTTTAGGTAAACAATTTACCCAAATTAGGGCGTGAAAAATTAAAAACAATATTGATGAAAATTAGCACTTCCTATTTATTAGTTGCAATATAAACTGTATAGCTATAATATCGAATTAATTATCTGAAGTATTGTGCCATTTTATTGAAAAAGCAGTTATTAGTTTCAATTTTATGCATAATCTACAATATATATCATAATTATAGTATAATTATAATGTATATTGTACTATTGTATATTGTATGTAATTACATTATGCATGATTTAAGCTGTTGAATACTTTGATTTCTAATAAAATTTTCCCAATAACGGAGAAAAATATTAAAACAGGTTCTTGACAGTTTTTGTTCCATTTCAACAGTTTTAAACAATTTTCAAATAGTACTCGCCAACTCAAATCAAAAACCAGCTTTAGAATGATTTTTGTTTCATTTTATTCATTGAAATGTGCTCTATTGATTAAGTAATTCTAAATTTTTAAAGCGTTTAAAAATTTTATAAGCTTAACATTTAAAACTTATTGATCAATAAAGCACATTAAATGAAAAAAAAATTATTAATTATTGAAAAAAATAAAGTAATTCTAGACACATAATTTCCCTTAAGTTAACATGGAGAAAGTTTGTCTGAAAGTTGTCCCTTAGATCGGAAAAAAGCTAGAAAAAATTTAAGTTGGACTTCTTATATTTTCTATTTTTTCAGTATTAAGGGGTTCAATAATATTAATTGATTTAATTAAATTGAGTAATTTTCAATTTAGTCGTTAAGAACTTAAAGTAAATCAGCTGCACAGTTTTCCGAGAAATAATAATTTAAAAGGTGGCTTTTATATAAAATTTTTTTTTAATAAGGCTTGTTTCTGAAAAAATTATTCAAATATTTTGTTTTAAAATTTCAATATAAAAACCAAATTCAAAAAAAAAAAAGTCAGCCACGTGAATCAATAAAACCTTTCAAAAGATATTGCAGAAAGTTTAATTCGCAACAACGGTTTTAAAGAATAGATTTTTAATTTTTTATTGAGTGTAAACTACGCCACACAGTTAGGGGTGACTAATTATAAATATTTGCAAACTGCTTAAAAGAAAGAAACCTAAATCCCGTTCTCGAGAAATTGAGCCACGCATATACACACACATGCCGACAGTTCTCTTATTTAATATGAAAAGGGAATAAAAAGGTGTTTTATAAATAATTTGGCAATCATAATATAGCATACAAAAATTATTAAAGCTTAAATTTGCTTGTAAAAATAATAGGGCAATTTGAAAGATATATATATATTTTTTTAATAGAAATTTGAAAAAAAAAACTTATTTATTTACAAAACATTTTCCAAAGTAAAGAGTAGCAGCTTATGAAAAACCCCATTCAAATATGACTGCAAACATAAAAAACAATAATAAATCTAGTGTAGGTCATACAATAACAATAAATTTTTTTCACATTTCATAAAATGTCAATTAATGCGCGAAAAAAATAAAATCTGAGTAACTTTTGATATAATAATCGGATTTTTACTCGCGCAACCTTAATATTTCCGGCAACACATATTGAAGATGTAAATTAATTAACGCAAACAGATATTTTAAGTTACGAAATCTGGCACACAAAAGTTATTTCTTCGAACAAATTAGCATTATACAGTTAAATAAAAATATAGTTTTTGACTGTTATGGAGTTATAAATTGTTTTTGTTTTTAAAAAAAAACGCTACGTGTCAACGACATTCAGCTGTGTAACGTGATCACCTTAAATATCATCAGCACTAATTTGTTACAGGTATGCTTCTTAACCATTAGGACTGAAACTTTGCACATGAAAAACCAGTAAAAATAGTTTTTTTTACCTATAAAACGAATACGATATTACAATAAACACGTGTTTCTTGTAGCCGTAAGCGATAATAATTTGATTTTTCGTTCTGACTCATACTTAAAAAAATTAAAGCAAAATAGTAGGAAAATATTCAACCAAATATAATTAGAATTCTTATTTAATTAATGACTAGTTATTGTGAAACTATAATTAGTATTTTAATAAAATTTAATTTTAATTACTGTCAAATAGAAACAAGCTTTAAATTGTACCTTACTAAAATTCACTTTAACGCAATGCATTAATATGACTCATTTTTAATTAATTACAGATGAAAAACTTTTCTACAGTATTCTACATTGTACAAAAATTTAGAAATGAAAAAAATTGCAGTTGGAAATAAAAAAAATACTATATCTCTTGCAAGTCAATTGCAGTCAAAAATGCATTATTTTGATAATTATTTTATTACAATTTAAAAAATTTGTTATTGTAATAGAAAAGTGCAATGAAATCATTAAAACTGAGCTTAATTCAAGTGCAAACAATTTCATAAATATATTAAAGCTTTTCGTTAGCTTATTAAAAATAATATCTAATTACAGGAAGAGAAAGGATGTTGCTAAAATTAAAAAGCAATTTTTATAGAGTCTAAAATTGCCTACATTGCAAACAGCTTTTAAATTAAATTTAATTACATGAAATAGATTTTTAAGACATCTATTTAAATAGGATTAGATATTTCCATAATTTATAATTTATTTCTATAATTTATGCTCTATTTCTGCATATAGATTAATTTTAATTTTCTTTCATACGTTATATTTCTCATTTACTTAAATATGTTACATCAAATCGTACATTGTTAATTAAAATAGAATTTTATATTTTTAATAACAATTAATCAGAGTCAAATGCGTAGGTTTGAATTTTTATTTTCTAATAAATTTAATTTGGAAACAAACCTTTTTCAACTACGTAAGACTACAAGTATTTATAGTCCATCAATTGTTGCAAAAAAGTATTTCTATAAAAAAATACCTTTTTGCTTATATAATTAGATCATATCAATATCAAATATTTTTTTTTTACGTAAAGCTTTGTTATATCATTATTGTTGATATTTAAAAATTCTCTGCTCTCCTTTGTAGATTTGAATGAGACCAAATTCTAAACGATAGACCAAAACGTTTAGAAGTTATAATGGTTTTATGTAGAAAAATACACTGTAACAAATTCCTTAACAAATTATTGTATAAGGTAACGGCACTTTGGGGGCCATTCGTAAAATCCAATTTGATGTAAAATCCATTTTTATCGCAAAATATTATACCATAATTTTTACAGTAATATTTATTTAATGAGAATGATTCAGAGACATTACGGTAATTATTACTGTAAAAAATACTGTATATCAGACTTTTTTGTTCCGTATCATGTTTCGCTACGGCAATGCTGATATTTTTTAAAGGAATTTTTTTACAGTGTACAATGCTTTTACGCACTGTGACTGACTATGGTCACCTACATGCACACGACTTGTATGCATTTACGTACCTGACACTGTTATCTGAAATGTGAAGCATTGTTTTATGTGTATTTTGGCGTTACATTTAATGCAACCAAACACGAAACACTAGGACTATTAGTTGGAAGGGTTTTTAACCATTTCTCTATCAGCGTCCTGTCTCATACTATCAGCTTTTTTATGCCCGTATGGTCATGATGTGCCCATGCAACGAA